CTCTCTCTCTCTCTCTCTCTCTCTCTCTCTCTCCCGCTCCCTCTCTCTAACCAGAATTCCTCATATGCCCCGAACGGAGCGTCCCATAGCCCTCTCCCTCTCCCTTCCTCCGCCCACCCCGCGCCCACCTACCTGGGCGAGGGGGGCGCCGTAGGAGTAGAAGGCCGCCATGTTGTAGCACTCGAAGGCGTCCTCGAGTTCCTCCGGCTGCCACACCTCCCTAGCGTCGCCGGGCCTCCCCTCAGACTCGGCCTCCGCGCACTCGTCGAATCCGTGGCAGTCGAGCCGGATGTCGCTGAGGAAGTCGACGTCCTCGGCGCCCATGTCGTCCGTCTCCGCGTCCCTGAGGTAGTCGGGCAGCTCGAGGATCGTGTCCCCGAGGAGAAAGTCATTCTGCGGAGCCCTGGGCACCGCCTCGCCCTCGGCCCGCTGGCGATCGTATTCGAGCTTGCGAATGTCCGCCTCGAGCTTGGCCGCGAAGGACTCCACGAGGCTGCTGCTGCGGTGGACGTCGCCGTTCTTGAGGGCGGCCGGCCCGCCGTTCCGTAGCAGGGTGGCGCTGCCGTTGGGGATGGCCTCTCCCTTCGGCTTACAGGGGCTCGAGGTGGAGTAACTGGAGTAGGAGGGGAGGCTGGAGGTGCGAGGCGCAGCCAGAAGCGAGGTGCCGGCGCCCCTCCCCATTGCGGCCTTGCCACTGCCGGCGGCGAGAGCGGGCACCTGGTTTTCCCGGGGCGGGGGGGAGGTCGGCGCCGAGGAGGGCTCCGTCAGCGCCACGGGGTTCACGTAGCAGAAAGGATGCTCGACCTGGAGCTGCAAGGGAAGGACTCGCGTGAGAAGGGAAGCGGTGCAGGACAAGGCACTTATACACTATCTAAAACAATCTGGAAAGCAGAAGAGAGCCACAGCATCTCCCTCTTTTCTCTCTTTCGTTCTCTGTCGCTGTTATAAACCAAAATTTAAAAAAATTAACACACCGAAGATTACTCGGGCAAACTACTTGTGCTATTATAATGCAACACAACAACAAATCACGTAAACTTCGAGGATGACAGAAACGCGAGACTGCCCCATCCTCAGGGCCCTTCTCGCACAGCTGCGAACCCACCTTCTCGCAGTCGAACCACGCTCCGTCGGGCTCCTCCTGGCGCCTCCAGCAGCCGATCCTGAGGGACTGGCACTGGAAGCAGCCCACCAGCAGGAGTCTGACCGATGACGTCACGTGCTGGACCGAGGCCACCACCGTCGAGGCCACGTCGCGAGGGAACGACGGCGGCCATGGAGAGTCCGTGGAGGGTGCCATGCCGTCCTGCGTCGTCCGCTTAACATCCTGCCGAAGGGCGGAGAGTCCTCAGATCGCTGGCAGGTCCTTCGGGCGTGTTCGAGGGGGGTCCTGGCGCTGAGGACGTCATCGTCGGCTCGATCTCGCTCTCTCGCCCCGCGCCCTCCCGCATCGCCGCTCCAACGGGTCTTCTGCGTGCGAGGCGGCCGGCGCTCCGAAGGTCGTTCTGGGCCTTGTATTCTAGTTCATGGTCAGCCTTTGTTGCTTTGGCCGAGTTGGTGCTTCTCCGGCTTGCTAAAGGGGCTTGTTTCCTGCAAGAGTGGTCGACGTAGTGATTAATCTGGGAGAGAAAAGTTATATACGAATTTCAGTTGTGGTTTTCAATGGTAGACGTAGGTACACGCATCTAAAATCGCACCCAAAAACATAATGATAGATAGAGGGTGGAAGTTAGATAAATAGATAGATGGGCAGACAGATAGACAAAGAGATCGCGAAAGAGAAAGTAAGAAATACAACACACGCAAACGAATAATGAACCTCTCGAACGCAAGAGAAGCTAGAGGCAAAAGTGAAAGGTAAAGTGAAGGGGAGGAGTGCAAGGGGGAGGGGGAAGGGAGGGAGAGAGGGGAAAGGGAGGAAAAAGAGGGGAGTAGGAAGTGGAGAGGGGGGAGGAGAGGGGGGGGGGCTGAAAGGGAAGGAGAGAGGGAGGGAGAGGGAATAGGACTGGGCAGTGAGGGAGGTAGAGCGGGAAGGAGGATGGGGGAGGTACAAGAGAGGAGGAGGAGGAGAGGGAGAGGGGGAGCTATGAGGGAGAGACAGAAGGGGGAGAAGAAGAGTGGGAGGGAATTGGGTATAAGCGGAGTGGAGGCAGCTGAGACTATGTATCGCTGAGTAACATCGAGTAATAATAAAGAAACAGTTACGTCTTTTTAATAGAATTTGATTTCCATGTTATACTCTCAAACGAATCTTAGGATTTCTCTTTCATTTTCTATTCCATACCTCTATTTCCGTATCTATCTACTTACATTCTTATCTAAAACTTTAGCCATATATTCATCTATCTATCGACCTATCTCTTTATTTGTTCATTGTAATCGAAAACTGAACAAAATCATTTATCAAAGTATATTCTCTAACGCATCTCTACGCACAGGTTTATATTTCACCATGCACCACGTGGCAGTTAAATTGTCTTTCAATTGATCAAAAGGACAAGTTAATAGTAAGTCAATTGAGTGATTAATTAGCCAAGCACGTGAGTCAATGGTTTAGATTGATTAGTCGTGTACGCGCACGGTCACTCAACCCCGTTAGCCTGTACTCACCCTACGATCATTCACGCAATCGAAACCCAATTCATTCACTATTATTCTACAATACGTATCTCAGTCGTCAACACACGGGCTCTGGGAAGGTTTACTCAGCCTCTGGAGAAAACAGACCTGACTCACTCGCTGTCCTCACTCAACCAATAGCGGGCCTCGACACTCACGCAAGAACAACGTGAAATGAGGAGAAGAAGAAGAAGATAAACAGAATGAGGGCAAGAAGAAGAAGAGGAGGAGGAGGAGGAAGGGGAGAAGGAGATGAAGAAGAAGAAGAAGGAAAAGAAGAAGAGGAGGAGGAGATGAAGAAAAAGAAGTAGTAAAGGAAGAAGAAGAAAAAAAGGAGAAGAAAAGAAGATGAAGAAGAAGAAGAAAACAAGATAAAGCAAGAAAAAAATAATAGGAACATAGTAAATGGATTAAGAAGCCACAAAGCTGAAGGAAAGTATTACGTGGTTCTCTGTAACACCACCTGACCCGATAGACAGATGAATAAATATATAAATAACGAAAATAGATAAACAGATCGGTAAATCAGTAATGTGCTCGATTGTTTTAATGACAATTAAATGATACGTATGAATAATGAAAATTAAATACGTTTGTAATTCAACAACTGCGTAGATAGATATGCATAGATAAATTGATTACTGAAAAGATAGATGAATAAATGTAAAGATAGATTAATAGATACATAGATGCTTTAAGGAATATAGAAAGAAAGAAATAAAGAACTCACACACACACACACACACACACACACACACAGAGAGAGAGAGAGAGAGAGAGAGAGGTTGTGTGTGTATGTGTGTGTGTCAGTGACAGTTTGTGTGAGTGCGTGTATTTGCTCATGTGTGCGTGCGTGTGTGTATGCTTGTGTGTACGTGTTTGCTCTCCCAGTCGAACTCGTGTCAGTGGGTTTATACTGCATTTCCCAGTTGATCTAACTGTTCATAAGGTGATCATTGTTTATGTTTCTCTAACTGTACTTGTAGCCTCTATCAGCGGTCAGTTAGTGTGATTGGTATGTTTTCTCTCCTCTCTAACGTGTAGAATTTCAAAGAAAACGGATTATGGTTTACGGTCTAACGAAAACGGGCGATGATTAAGCTCGATATTTTTCTCTCTCTCATTCTCTTTCTCTCTCTCTCTATCTATCTATCTATCTGTCTATCTATCTATCTATCTATCTAACTAACTAACTATCTATCTATCTATCTATCTAACTAACTATCTATCTATCTATCTATCCATCTACATCTCTCTCTCTCTCTCTCTCTCTNCGAGTCTGTGTGTATGTTTGTGTGCATGTGCGTGTGTTTGTGTGAATCGGAAAAGTTCCAAAGGAGGATATTCTAGTGAGAAAAACGCAAATCAGGTTCATTTGTCGTCTATTACCCTGCGGTGAACAGGTCAACTGCCGGCCGCCAAGGGGTACAGAAGCCCAGGTCTACTGGACAAAGGGAACTATGTAGTCTCCGAGCTCAAAAGCAAGACTCGGTGTTTACTGAGAAGAAAGACATAAGGAAATTATGTTCAAAAGACATTGCCGGAAGCTTAGCGTCCTCACGCTAAACCAAGGCAATGAGATTTTTTTTTCGTGTGCGCGTGAATCGACAGGCGCATAATCGTTAGTCTACGGCGCGTCTTCGATGGTGAGGCTGACGAGGACGAGGTCGTTAGAAGTCCTCGGGGATCTTGCCGAAGTCGGCGTTGGAGAGGTCGTAGAGGGTCTCGGCCTGGTCGCAGGGGAAGGCCTCCTCGGGGTGGGCGCAGGTGAGGGACTCCTGGCTGAACACGGTCTGGTTGCCGCACACGAACGAGAACTGGGCCTCTTCGATGATCTGGGGGAGCAGCAGGATTTGAAGGCATGTGATGTGGAATGAATGATAACAGATAGAATAGAAATGGATGAAGACGAGACAAAGAAAAACGTTTCCAAGTTTGTTCATGAGTAAAGGGTAGTCAAAGCTAGCCGCCATTTGGGAAAGAATTGAAAGAAAATACAGCAGAGGGAAGCGAATAGCAATAAGTAATGTTTACGCAGAACAATAGAAATAGAATTACATTTCTTGATTGAGCGTACTACATTTTATATCAGTCTCAAAAGAAATTATATAATATAGAACGAAAGAAATTAATCTAACGCCGATCTCCGAAAAAGAAATAAACGGGGAAGCGGCAGCCACGAAACGACTCACGTTGCCCAGCTCATCGTTGACGGGGTAGCAGACGTGGAAGATGGCGCAGTCGTTGGCCACGTCGGCGAAGTAGCCGTAGGGGCGGCCGGCGCAGGAGAAGGAGGTGATCACCTGCGACCTCAGGAGCTCCACGCCCGAAGGAAGCTGGTAGGCGGAGCGGGCGGAGGCGGCGGCGATGCAGAGGGCGAGGACGAAGACAGCCTTCATGGTGATGGGTTGCTTGGGAAGGAGAAGAGGTTATGAAGGAGGTTTGCGAGTGTGTGTGTGTGTAAATGTGTGTTTGTGTGTCTTCGTGTGTTTGCGTACATAGGTATATACCATCTGTGACCGCATATAAGACGCATATTAGACATATTCTCATTTTAGCCTCGAGAAGGATTTTATTTTTGTCATAATCATTGTTCGGGACGAGATGCGTGTTATTTACTACGGTACATAATCCACTGTGCTATTATGGCACCACATTGACACGCCGCTTTTTGATCCGAATAAACAGATGCCTTTGACTTTCTCCGCAAAAACAATTAGATATTGAAATCATCTTGAATATGAGTAAACCCTAAGTTATCCATATCATCACGATCGACAATGTCCATAAAAAAGTTATTGTTCTTGAGGAAACTTAATGGTTCGATATGAAAAATCTTTATCTATATATCTATATATCTATCTACCTATATCTATCTATCTATACTATCTATCTATCTATTCTATATATATATATATATATATACTATATATATATATATATATTATATATATATTATATATATATATATATGTACATCAGAAATAAGGAAGAGAGAGAGACACGCCCACACATTTTCTATCTCTCTCTCTCTCTCTCTCTCTCTCTCTCTCTCTCTCTCTCTCTCTCTCTCTCTCTCTCTCTCTATATATATATATATATATATATATATATATATATTATATATATATATGTA